TTTTTTTTTTTTTTTTTTTTTTTTTTTTTTGCCTGCTATTGTATGTATTTTGCCTGCTGTTACTGTTGCATGAATAATGTAGCTTAATTGGCCATATGGGTCTTCATTTTTGGACTTTCTGGTCTCTTGATCTATGTTGCTATGCTAATACCCTACAGTTTTTGATTACTATAGTTTTGTAGTATAGTTCAAAACCAGTACAGTTTGAATTCCACGTTTTTTCTTTCTCAAGAGTGTTTTGGTTATTTGGGATCTTTTATCCAAATTTTAGGATTGTTTGTTCTATTTTTGTGAAAAATGCCATTGGAATCTTGATAACAGGATTGCACTGAATCTATAGATTGCTTCGAGTAACATGAACTTTTTAAAAAAGCAATGTTAATCCTTCTAATCTATGACCATGGAATATCTTTTCATTTCTTTCTGTCACCTTTGATTTCTTTCATCAGTGTCTTCTAATTTTCAAAGTATAGATCTTTTACTTCTTTGGCTAAATTAGTCCTAGGTTTCTTTTGTTTTGAAGCAATCATAAATGGGATTATTTTATTAATTTCTCTGTCTGATATTTTCGTTTTGGTGTGTAAAAATGCCAGAGTATTTGTATACTGATTTTGTAGCCTGCAAATTTTCTAGCCCTATGACATTTTTTGGTGAAGTCTTTAGAATTTTTTAATGCGTAAAATCATGTCATCTACAAAGATAGTTTCATTTCTTTCTAATTTTCATCCCTTTTTATCTTGCCTAATTTTCCTAACCAGGACCTCCAATGCTGTGTTGAATAAAATTAGCAAGAACAGCATCCTCGTCTTGTTCCTTGTTTTATAGGACAGATACTCAGCTTTTCATCATTGAGTACGATATTTACTGTGGCTGGTCACATATGGCCTTTATTTTGCGGGGGCACAATTCCTCTAAATTCATTTTGCCTGGATTTATGTTCATCATAAATGAATGTTGGATTTTGGCGGATGCTTCCCCTGTGTCTACTGAAATGATCATATGGTTTTCATCTTTTTTTTTTTTTTGGTAAAGTGGTATATCATGCTGTTTGTTTTGTTCGTGTTGAACCATCCTTGTGATTCCCAGAATAAACCCAGTTTGATTATTTTTATGATCCTTTTTAATGTTTTGCTGAATTTTTGCATCTTTTTTCACTAGGATTATTAGCCTGTGATTTCCACTTTTTGCCATGTTTTTGTCAGGGTGATGCTGACCTTCAAAATGAGTCTGAAAGTATCCCTTCCTCTTCAGTTTTGGAGAAGAATTTTTAAAAAGATAGGTATGAAATCTTTGAATTTCTGGTAGAACTCCCAGTTTGCTCTGTACTTTTATTTTGGGACAGGCATTCGATTACTCATTCACTCTCCTTGTTTGGTCTAGTCAGACATTCTGTACTTGATCTTAGCCAAAGAGCCTAGAAGTGACCTGTTCAAAATTTCTATTTCCTTGTGATTGAGTCTTGGCAGATTGTAGGTTTCTAGGAATTCATATATTTCTTCTAGGTTGTCCCAGAGTAGTTGATGAGCTTTTGTATTTCTGCGGTACCCTTTCGACTATGTCTTCATTTCTAATTCACTCACGTGAGTCTCTTTTGGTGAATGTAGCTAAGGTTTTGTCAGTTTTGCTGATCTTCTCCAAAAACTAGCTCTTAGTTCTGTTGATCTTTTCTGTTGTCTCTTAAGTCTCTTATTTCTTTTATTTGCATTTTGATCCTGTTTCTTCTATTAACTTTGGCCTTCTTTTGTTTTTCTGGTTCCTCTAGGTGTAAGGCTAGGTTATTTGAGATTTTTTTTGTTTCTTGAGGTAGGTCTTTATCACTGTGAACTTCCTTCTTAGGAAGTTCCTCCTTCTGCATCCCATAGATTTTGGTATGCTCAGTTTCCATTTTTACTCGTCTCAAAGTGACGTCTTCATTGATCCAATGGTTGTTTGGTAGCATGTCATTAAATCTCCAGATATTTGTGATTTTTCTGGCTTTCTTCATATAATTGATTTTTAGTTTCTGCACTCTTATAGTTGGAAAAGATGGTTGATGTGATTTCAGCCTTCTAGAATTTATTGAGACTTAGTTTGTGCCCAACATATGATCTGTTCTGGAGAATGTACCATGTTCACTTGAGAAGAATATATATTTTTAAAAGACTTATTTTTGCATACAGAGCTGGGGTACAGGGGCAGTGAGAGGCTTCACCAGAGACAGAGCGGGGAGCAGAACAGGCAGATGGACGAAGTCCACTGCTGAGGGGAGCAGCGGGCGGGTCGGGAGAGGTCTGCCGCGCCCTGTGGGCCACCTCTGGGGTAGGCGGGGATTGAACTTGTGCTGCAGTGGCTTCAGCCTGCTGTGCCATGGCCCCCTCTGCTCTTTTTTTTGAGCCTGTGGATCCATTCTGCCTCATCAAGCCTGGGCTTGAGCCCCTGTTTGGAGTTTTTCAGGCTGGCTGTTGTACCCTGTGGGCCTGGGACTGCTTTCGGCCCTTTCTCATACCTCTGTCTCTTGTGTTCTCTCTTCTCCAGAGCTCACTGAGCATCGTTCTGACCATTACTTTCGATTTTTTATCCGGCGGTTTCCTTATCTGCCTTTCATTTTATAAGATCTTTTTCTGAGGTTTTGTCTTGTTCTTTCATTTGGAACATAGTTTGTTTCCTCATTTTACTTCCTTTCTGTGTGTGTCTCTGTAGTAAGAGCAGCTGCTGCTCTCAGTCTGGAGAGCATGACCTTGGGCCGCTGTTGGAGTGATCTGATCTGGGAGTCTTCTGACCCTTTGTGGTGTCCTGGCCTCTGGCTTATTCTTCACAGGCCCCCACGAGGGTTACCCAAACGGTTGTCAGGGGTGGAGCTGGCAGCACCTGGTTTCAGCCTGGCCGAGCCCCAGAATCTCAGCTTTTGTAGTATGTTAGTACGTGTCCTGAGAGGCCAAAGTCCTCAGCCCTGTTGGCCTCCAGGATTGGCAATATGGAAGTGTCCCCTTGAGACAGCTGCAGGACAGTCTCCTGGGAGGTGCTGGGGAGCTCTAGTGAGGCCCAGGTACGTGCAAAGACAGCGTCCTCTCCCCCGGAGTTCCTGAGAACCCCTCTGGCCTCAGGGTGGCCGTGGCAGCCAGCACGGGCTCTCAAGTTTATAATCTTCCGGGTCCAGACTCCCAGCTGGGGTGAGGCCACTCTGGCCTCAGCTTTCCTTGCACACGCAGCGGGCCGCGCTTCAGGGCTGGGACCTGAGTCGCAAAGGTTCTTTCGCTTCCCCACCACTTCTGTTTTGTGCGACACGGAGTGACGCAGATCTGAAAGTCCACCCCACCTGAGCCTCACAGGTCCTGCGGAGAGAGTGGACTCTTACCAGCAGAGCCACGTCAGCGCTGCGGAGGAGGGTGGCCAGCCGCCCCACCTTCGCCATGAGATACCGCCCAGCTGCTTTCCGCTCAGGAGCTGGAGTCTGCCAGCCGTGGGGGAGGGGAGGGCGTGCCCTGCACCACGTGAACTTCCGTCCACAGGGGCAAACAGCCGCTCCCTCTGTTTTGGGTCAAACCCCTGTGTCTCCCCTGAGATGGGGGGGGGTGGAGGGGCGGGAGGTGCCCACCTGTCTGGAAGGCACCAGAACTCAGGTGTTTCCCTGCTGTCAGCTCCCTAAGCACTAGGGGAATGAAAAGAATGTGAAAAGCAAAGCAAAACAAAATACCTCTCCCCTCATCTCTTTGGGTCCTGGTCCCTTGATGGGCCCACCTGCTGCTGTTAATCTTTTGGGGCTGTTTATAGTCCTTGAGGACTTGGGCCAACACTGACCTGCCCCAAACGCCCAACCTCAGGTCCTTTGCAGACTTCTCTTTGCTCTCTGGCCCCTGAGCAGCGGGCACCGAGCAAGGCCCAGCCCCTGCTGTCTTCTGACCAGAGGACAACCTGGGGTGACGAGAGGGCGCTGCGGGCACTGTTAGGGGGATCTGTTTCCATAGGGGTGTTGTTCACAGCAGCTTGATGCCACGTGCTGGTGGCCTCGGAACCAGCCCCCCACGCTGGGGCTCATAGTCTGTATGAGGATGCTGGGCCCGAGGTCAGCACCCTGGGCTGGTGGGCAGGCCGGGCAGAGACTTGTGTTGGCGCCTGCGGTGTGGGCCGGGCTCGGCAGTGCCCAGTCCAGTCTGCACGTTTAGGGTCTGCTCTGGCCACTGAAGGTGTGGCGCACAGGTCGTCGCCCATGCAGGGGAGTGGCGACGCGGGCCTGAGTGGGCAGGGAAGCTGCCATGCTCCCGCCTCTGCTGGGGGTGCGCGCCTGGGCAGCCCTGTGCCGGCCTGGGCTGGGCCTCTGCAGCGCACCGGCCCAGAGCATCCCAGCAGCCCGCTGCGCTGGGCCCCGGCCTCAGAGACTGCGCTGTCGGGCAGCCCCAGCCTCAGGCAGGCGCCTGGGGGCGGCGGGGCGCTGGGAGGCCTCGGACCCCGCCTCACCCGCCCCTGTCCGCAGGCTGGCACCCATGCGGCTCTACACGCTGTCCAAGCGCCACTTCGTCCTCGTGTTCGTCGTCTTCTTCGTCTGTTTCGGCCTGACCGTCTTCATTGGGATCAAAGGTGAGTCGGGCCAGCCTCGGTCACTCTGTCGCCCCTGCCGTGAGCCCCCTGGGCGGCGCTCTCCAGCCTGGCCCGGCTGTGCCCACGCGCCCTCACCTGGAATGGCCACCCCCCACCCAGCCGCCGGGTGGGCGCCGCTTCCTCCGAACTCCTGGGCGGCAGGGCACCCGGTCACGTCTGCCCAGCAGCCAGGGCCTGAGCTCGCTTGGCCGCACAAGGCAGCCTTGACCCTTCCCGGATAATCCGACACTTGTGGAACCTGGACCGGGACCCAGCTGGGCACCGAGGCGTTGAGAACCTGCCGGCTGATGGGCAGACAGCCGGGTCGCGTCGGTGTGGCGAGTGGGAGCGCGGGGCGCAGGCTGGAGTGACGCCCGGGTTTCTTCTTTCCCTTCAGTTTCCCGTGCGCAGGGCTGGTGTGGGTGGGTGTCTACGTCACCGAGGCACTTAACGCGCTCACGTGAGCGTGGAGTGTGGTGTCTGTCCCGGGGCCGGGCTGCTTTCCTGAGCTGGACGGAAGCGTGGCTGTGAACGGACGGGCGGGGGGTGTGGCTGGGAGGGTCGGGGGGAAGGCGGCGATGGTGCCCGAAGCACCTGCAGCCCAGCCCCTTCCTCCCGGAAGAAGGGGGAGTAGGAGTCACCCCGAGCAATGCAAAGACACAGGCTGCTGGCGAGGCCCACGCCATCCCTGGGCTGGGCGGGGGAGGCGTCAGTGGCTCACGGGAGCTCAGCCACTGCCCGTGTTCTCAGCCATGCCCGTCTCGGCTCCACGGTTCTGTTCCATTATGTCCAGCCTTCTCCGCACCTGCACATAGTTGAAGCCCCTGTAAACCAGGCCTGGCCCCTCCTTCCTCTCCGAGGGGACCCCCACCCCGAGGCCAGGGGTGTAGGCAGCTAGAAGATGGTGTCGCTGGAGGGGGACCACGGCTTTGGGCCCTGTTCCCCTACTTCCTGCTCAGGCCCCTTCACTGAAGCCACTTCCCAGCCTCTGTGCACACATGGGCGGGTGACCGGCAGCTCACTGGTGAGGTGCTGGGCTCCCGGGTGGAGACCACGGCCCAGAGGCGCGTCAGGGCCTGCGAGGGGGGGCAGGCGTGGCTCGCAGCGAGGGGCCTGGGCCCCAGCCCGGAGGCCGGCTGCAGGCTGCTCCCACGTCCCCACCTGCCGCTGACACTCAGGCCCGCGGGTCGGGGGCAGCGCGCCCACAGCCCGCCTGTGAGCCTCCTCTGGTGCTGGCCCACGGAAGACCAGTGCCCGCTGGTCACTGGGTGGACGGCCTCCCGCTGCCAGGGCGCACTGCTGCCTCCCAGGCCCACCAGCACTGGTCTCAGCTGTGGCTGCTGGAGGAGCCAGATGCAAGAGCATCACCCCAGACGCGCCTCTGGGCCCGGACACTTCCCCGGCGCCCAAGGCCTCTGAGCCGTGGGCTGCCCCCTGCGCCGACGCAGAGCCTCGCCTCGGCCGGAGAGAGCCGCTGCTCCTCCCACTGGGCTGTCAGCGCGCCCTGTGGGGCTGCCACGTGGACGTGGCCAGTGCGGTGACCTGGGCGGAGTCAGGGGCCGGAGGGCGAGCCCCCGGGGGCCCACGAGGGGCACTGCTGGCCCCACTGGCCGGCAGCTGGTGCTGCTGGGGGTATTGTGGTCGGGTTGGGACGGGCCGTGCCTGTGCCGGGCAGCCAGAGAGTATTGGGTTTGTCCCACGACGGAGCCCGGTGGCGGCCGGGCAGTGCGGCCGCAGCGGCACCTGGTTGACGCCGTGAGACCACGGTCTTCCTCCCGCATCCCCCGGCAGGTGGAGCGGGCTGTGCTGGGGTGTTCTGCTCCCGTGTGGCCCTGACGCCACACCGCACGGCACTGCGGGCGCTTTGGCTTACCGCTGGCCCGGGCAGAGTCTCGCGGCTCCCACGTGGCCTCCCCCAGGCAGCCCTGAGTCCACGGGTCGGGGGCCAGGGTGGGGCTCTGCAGCTGCTGGAGTGTCTGTGCCCGTCTCAGACCCTGGACTGTGGACTCCAGCTTCGGGCGGGCTTGGGCCCCACCTGGTCTGTGGCCCTGGCACCTGAGCTGGGACCCCTTTGGTCACCTGCCCACCCCCTTCTGGCCAGTGGACACAGGGGCATCTGGGGTGTCCTGAAGTCTGTGTGTGCCCAGAGCTGATCATTTGCAAGGTTCTGTGCAGCAGCCTAGGGCCCTGCGTGAGGGTGAGTAACAGTGTAGGCCGGGGCAGGGTGCATGGTGCTTAGGGGGTACGGGCCCTCCGTCCGGGGCTCTGGGGCCGTGGCAGAGCCGGTCTGGGCACTAGTGAGCAGCTGTGATTCTTCATTTTTACAACTCATTCATTTCTGTTCGCGAGGACTTTCCCGCAGGCCCCTGTCTGTCCACTCCTAGGATGGACAGGCCACCTCCCCACACCCTGGGTTGGTGCAGCCGGCCATTCCTGCCAGCCGAGGTGCCCGCTGGGCGTGTCCTCCTGCATGCGGAGGGTGCTGGCTGCAGGCGTGGGCTCTGTGGCCCACCGGAACATGGCGGCGAGGGGTCTTTGCAGGACAGACCCGGCTCCGGGTTGTGTTAGAGTCACCCCGGTGTGCCGTCTGCTGCTCTGACATCAGACTGCAGCGTGGCGCTCACCGAGGTCTCGCCACCGAGTTCAGGAAGAGCCCAGTGTGCATCCGCTTGCACGGCCTCAGCTCGGTGCTTCCGGCCACCGTGTGTCGCTGTGCTTCCTCGGGTCCATGCACAGAGCCCACTGGCTAGCAGCGGGCCGCTGCGTCCGAGCCCCGCTTTCAGTTTTAGCCGCATGCGCCCTTCTGGTCTCAGAAGTCACTAGGGAAACAGGACCCACCGCCGACAAGGTGTGAAGCTTCCGCGGCGTTCGGGAAAGAACCAGTCATCTCGCCCTGGACGTGACCTGCCTCTCCGCTCTCTTACCCCCAGGGCCCAAAGTGATCCAGACGTCTGCAGCTAACTTTTCACTGAATAATGGCAAAAAGGTAAGACGGGGTTTGGGGGGCAGCTCCTGGCTCTCTGAGCAGGGTCCCGCCAGAGGTCCGCCGCCCACTGCCCTGAGCTTGCTTCTCCGGGATGTCCCGCCCCGCTGCCGGCCTTTCCTGCCACTTCTGGGGCTGCTCGGCCGAGGCGGCTGCCTGTGCTGCTCTGCCGGGCACTGTCACCTGTCCCCCGAGCCCAGGTGCGCCGCGGGGGCCTGGCTCGTGACGCTTGCCTCGTGCGCCTCGCTCCAACTCCGCCCAAGCGCAAGCTCTTCTCCTCTTCCTTGGGTTTGACGGGCCTTGATTGGTCGTCTTTAGAGAAAAGCAAAGGCTTTCCCAGTCGGAGGATGTGGGTCCCCTCTCACCAAGCTGACTTGGGAAAGCCCAGAAAAGCAGGATTGTGTGTTGCTGCCGCAAACGTAATATCCTCATCACAAACTCAACGGCACTGTGACGTGCGTGGGGACCTGACCGTTGACCCCGGGCCCCAGGGCCCAGCTCCTTGCTAGGTTCCTCCCTGCAGATGGCGGAGAGGTCCATGTCCTCAGAGGCCCCTGCAGCTGGCTCGAAGGGCCCATGCGGAGCTGACCTCAGGGGCTCTTTACTTAACGCCCACTAAGGTCCAGTCGGAGACTTGCCGCAGGGGTCCTGGCCGCACTTTGGTCCCGAAGTTTCTCTCCCCGGCTGTCGGTCCTTTATTGACTTGGGGGACGGCCGCTCCCGACTCTCGTGCTCCCAGAAGCTCATCCCCACCGCTGACGGCCATGGGTCATCCTGGGGCTTTTAGGAAAGCCTGGGCCCAGGGGCCCCATGGAGGCCTGCCCCAGCGCTGGCCCTCCGGGAACCAGAGGCTGCGCTCAGAGGCGCTGCCCTGGGGCCACGGGGTCCTGAGCGTCCTCGGGAGCCCTCTGCCGTTGGAAGAACGCTGCCCCCTTCCCTGGCCACACGTCCCCCTGAGTTTCTTCCTGGGGACCCTGAGCTGGAAGTAACACACATGCAGTGACGACATGGCTGGTCTGGGGCCAGAGAAGTGACGCTTGAGGTGCTTCATCTTGTGAGCGTGAAGTTGTTTCCCTGGAGTCCACTGTCCTCCGAGTCTGCTGTCATGGCTTTACGTTGTTCTCCTAGCGGCTTTTGGCGGGTCATTCGGCCCGTCGTGCCCGGCTCCGGTGGGCCGTCTGCACAGGAAGGCGGGAGGCCGCCTCCCGGCCGGGAGCAAGGCTGACCGCGAGCCTGTAAACTCGCACGTTCAGATGGCGGCGTTTGGTCGACTTGCTGAAAAGGCCGTGTACTGACGTGGCGCTATTCCCTCTTGCCTCAGCTAAGGCCAATTCACCTCATCTCGAACCCACTGTCCATGTACAACCAGCAGCTGTGGCTGACGTGCGTCGTAGAGTTGGAGCAGTCGAAAGGTAGGAGGCTTGACGCCGGCCTGGCGTCCCTGGGGCGGCACCGAGTGTCAGAGCCGAAGGAGCTTTAACGTCTCAGACACGCTCCACGGGGGCACAGGGCGGTCGTTGCTATAACGCCGCAGTCTGGGGGCCCCTCCCAGGCCTGCGGGGTCCCCCAGACAGTGCTCAGGAAGTTCTGCTCCCCCTCGGGGGACTGCTGGAGGGCAGGAGCACTGGGCAGCCCTCGGGTACCGGGTCAGCGCTGGGCACCCATCAGCATGGGGAGGCCGAGCCGGCTTAGCCGGGCTGCCTGGTGTGGGCACGGCGGCTGCCACCTTCTCCAAGGCCTCCGGCTACAGTAAGTCCTGTGCCCTGAGGGCACAGTGTGCGAGACCCTGTGACAACCGGTCACCATAACAGGGTCGTCACGACAGTGGGTGCTGCCGGGATGCAGTGGGCACACAGGACGCATAAACGGACCCCACAGCAGGCTCTGTCGGCCGGTGTCTGTGGTGGCGAGGCCGGGCCTGGCCAGGCGGCCCTGCGGGGACGTGGTCTTGCCCTTCCCGGGGGGCCCCGGGCTGCCCTAGCGGGGGGCCGCCCTCCCTACTCTCGGCGCTGGGGTCCGGGTGAGACCCACCAGTTGAGAGTCTGACTCTGTGAGCACAGTAGTTTCTGTGGGAAAAACGCACATCCTCATGCCTAGAAGTGGCCTGGACAGAGGGACACAACTAGCCTGGGCAGTGAGGTTGCACAATTTTGATGCCTTTTTTTATACTTTTTCCTGGTTTTTATAACAATGAACATGTCAGAAAAATAATAAGTCATGTCATCAGAAGACATAAACCATCTTTCAGTCATGGTCTGAAGCTACATTCAGATGTCCCAGGAAACGAAGGCGCTCCCGTCAGCCGTGACCCCAACGAGGGGCCCCCACCTGCGGGCCCGCATGCCCCGGGGGACGGCTTCGTGGGGGCCAGGGTAGGGGCGGGGGCCGCACGCGCCCCTGCTGAGGCGCCTGACGCTGAGCTGCTCTGGCAGAAACGTCGATCCAGACGAGCTTCCCCATGACTGTCAAAGTGGACGGCGTAGCCCAGGACGGCACCACCATGTTCATCCACAGCAAAGTGCACAACCGGACCCGGACGCTCACGTGTGCAGGGGTGAGTGTGCCACGTGGCAGGGGGAGCGTGCCGGGGCCCACGACCCTCACGTGACAGGGGGGAGCGTGCCGGGGCCCACGACCCTCACGTGGCGGGGGGAGCGTGCCGGGGCCCAGGACCCTCAGGTGGCAGGGGAGCGTGCCGGGGCCCA